CATATTATTGAGCATTGCCCATACAAACCTGATTGTTACTCTGCACAACAAAAATAAAGAATTATAAAAAAAAAAAAAAAAACTTATCGTTTCTCCCACACTATGGCTGCCCTGCCTCCTTGGCCGAGATGATCAATCTTGGAAAGCACTGAGAGGCTAGTGCGCACATGCGGCAAAACACCGCGCTGATTGAAAAAGCCTAGTTTTACTCCGCTATTGGAGAGCTTTACCAATCCAGGCACCAGGTCGCTATGGTTACTAGGAATTTTGTCCTGGCACCTGGGTGTTTGTCAGCCTGTTCAGCAATGGCCACATGGAAGCAGGTGGCGAGGGAGCTGTATCTTCAAGCTCTTCTTGCTCTGCTCCCTCACTCACCCTGCTTTGATGTCAGGAGCCAGGATATGATGTCACTACAGCTGTGGCATCACTAAACAATGAGTGAGAGAGCAGAGCAAGAAGAGCTTGAATATTACAGGATCATAGAAGCTCCACTGGAGTCCATGGAAAGGATCCACTCCAGTTTTCCCAAAGGTGGGGAAGCTGGGTAGACGTAAATTAAAATAAAACAACTGATAATTATTTGTGACTGTGTGAAAGAATGTGTGTCAGTCTGTCTGTCAGTGAGTGAGTGAGTGAGTGTGTGTCTGCCGTCTGTCAATGAGTAAGTGTGTGTCTGTATCATCTCCCATTTCCTCCACCCTAGGCCCTCCCTGCTTCTCCTCTGGCCCAGGCTTTCCCTGATCCTCCTCTGTCCCAGGCTCTACCTGCTCCTCTTCTGTTCTAGGTTCTACTTGCTCCTCCTCTGACCCAGGCTCTCACTGTTCCTCCTCTGCCCAGGCTTCCCCTGCTACTCCTCTGTAGTATAGACAGTGCAGATACACAGACACACACTGACACACTTGCTAATATACATATACAAACACACACATTCAGATGTACACACAACACAAATGCAATGATACACAGACATACGGACACACACTTACACACATACAGATACAAACACTGACATGCATACAGATACAGACACACACAGATACATAGACACACAAAACACATACAGATACAAACAATGACACATGCAGATCACAGACATGCACAATGTGACGTACTGCCATCACTGATTATCATGCACACTACTTATTTGTGTCTTTTCACCTTGTATCATGTTGTCCCTCTGTGTCCGCATGTATTTTCTATGCCTTTCATGTATTGTGCCTGTATATGCAGCAGCTCTGTAAAGTAGAGTAAGTGAAATGGATTGCTCTGTGCCCCTCCCCCTTCCTTTTGTAATTGCATGGTCTCTCTGTATCTCCCCCCTTTCCCCCTCCCTTCTCATGTCACCGCAGGACGTTGCCACAGAGACACTGCCAGCCTAGTTTAATCTAGATATTTTTGTCCTTCCTTCCTCCCTCCCCCTTCAGCTTCTTGGGATTGAAACCCCTGTGTTGGAGACCACATGTAGGGGTCTGTGTCTGTAAAACCATGTGTAACAAAATAAACTTCAGTCAGTGTTGTAATCTCCAGAACTAGTTTTTTTCAAGTTACTTGGGGGGTATTAATGGATGCATGCTTGTTGTAAGGGTTCCTGAAGGAACAGAATTAGCGGAGGTAACTGGTCGGGTTACCCGTGGTCCGTAACACACAAACAAACACATATAGATACAGATACACACATTGACAAACATGAAAATACACAGACAAACAGATACACACATGCAGATACACAGACACACACACCGCCCAATATGCAGATACACACACACAGACACAGAAGCAAGCACTGACACACATCTAGATACATAAACACACAGAAGCAAACACTGAAACACATCTAGGTACACAGATGCAGAAACAGACATATATACTGACACATGCAGATACATAGACACACATATACAAACACTACCACACATGCAGAGGCACAGTCACACAAATACAAACACTGACACACATACAGATACACATATTGACACGCATACAGATAAACACACTGACACATATACATATACAAACACTGACAGAGATACAGACACTCAAAAACACATATATGGATATGGAAACAAAAGATATTATGAAACACATGTGATTGTTAAAATATAATCTTTATTGGAATTGATAAAATACTATCTAACAATTGTATGTGGAAATAAAGTGATGGAGTACTCTAGAGCAAAAGAAAAAAACATAACCATACACCATGAAAAAAAGAAAGAAATGGAACTAAGAATACAACACATTAAAATATCTTGTCATTGGTAAGATAAGACCCATGTAACTGGAAATTCTTAGTCAAGGTAGTCCAGATGAAGCGAAAATAGTAAAATTACTAAGGGCTGAAATCTGAAATGCCAGTACATGTGATTTATATGGGAATAGAGTTACCCAGTGTTATGGAAAAAGTGGCATAAAAGGACCAAATATCATGGTGCAGATAGTGTACAGCAGTATGATCAACTATCTTCCAAAGGTCCTAATTCCAACATGCTGTCACTTAATGGTGTGGTAAAATTGTACTACACCAAGTGGGCTGGAGGTCCACTGAAAGCATGTATGCATGAAAAAATAAATAAGAGTAAACCAGTGTATAATATAAATGAGTACTCTCAGACTGAAGTCCCAAAATTATCGATTGGTATAGACTGTGGACTAGCTGGGGGTGTAAGCAGCAGAAAACTGTCTGTCAGTATATAGGATCACTGGAAGGGTATGTGAGTTGGATGGTCCTTGTACTAGTAAAGAGTTAGTCATAATGATATGCCAGTCCCTGTTTATTTAACAGCCGACACACGTTCCCTCCTGTGGGTAACCCATATTAAAAAGCGGGTAGAACTAAATATAGTAACAGTAAAGTGTAGTTCTGATCTAGGGGTACCGATGTAACTGTAATGTAAAAAAACAAACCCACCAGCTCAGTGAAACGCCAGAATCTGCTTGCTTAGGATCCCAAGAAGGGTGTGTGTGTTGGATGGTCCCTGCAATAGTTTTAAGTTAGCCAAAAATTATTTACTAGTCCCTGCTTATAAGATACAGTTGTTTCAAATGAGTAAAACTTAGTATAGTAGCAGTTCAATATAGTAGCAGTTCCTAAACTTAGTATCTAAGATAAACTAAGTCTATAACAAGTCTAAATGGAGTCCTGAGCAGGGGAATGCAAGTTTGGCTAAATTATGAAAAATCAAAAGTGAAAAAACCACCAGCTCTTAGGAGGGCCAGAGTGTGCACTCTTCGCACGTTTCACCTGGCAGCCGTCACCAGTGGGGAACCTCAGGGATCTGTACTTCGACCCATTCTCTTTAATAATTTTATTAGTGATATTGCAGAAGGTCTTGATGGTAAGGTATGTATTTTTGCTGATGATACTAAGATATGTAACAGGGTTGATGTTACAGGAGGGATAAGCCAAATGGCAAATGATTTAGGTAAAGTAGAAAAATGGTTGTGGCAACTGAAATTTAATGTGGATAAGTGCAAGATAATGCATCTTGGACTTACAAACCCAAGGGCAGAGTACAGAATATTTGATAGAGTCCTACCCTCAACATCTGAGGAAAGGGATTTAGGGGTGATAATTTCTGATGACTTAAAGCAGCACTGTCATGGCCGAATCCCGTTTTTTTGTTTGTTTTTTTTAACCCCCCTCCAGACTCCACTACATCTAATTGACCCCCTAGTCACCCCCAATAGCCCCTAAGCCCCCCATATTACCTATTTTTTTAATCTTTATTTTCTGCCTCGACCTAGGTCCTGAGCACTGCCATCTTTGTGTGGGTAGATGAAGACACATCATTTGGTCACACTAGATAGCGCTGTGAAATTCCCGCAAATGCCCAGCGAACGGGAATTTCATCCATTCATTCATTTGTCAGAAAGACAAATGAATGAATAGAAATGTCAGACGAACAAACAAACACTAAATATCAGTGTTCATTTGATCGTTCAGTTTATTACAAGGAGGGAGCTACCCGTGTGCAGCTCCCTCCGTGTAACATGTAAAAATAGAAGGGGCAGGGATCAGTGTTCCCCGCCACTTCCTAAGCCCCCCATGTCCTCCCTCACTCTATGGGGGCCTGTGGCTGCTCACTGTTTAAAAAAAAAAAAAAACCCTAGTACCTCCCCCGGCCCTAAATAACAATAAGGGTGGGGACCTATTGTCCTCCCCCCGGCCCCACCCCTGAGTGGTGGGTGGGGGCCCTAAAGGATAATGAGGGGAAGGGACCTATTGTCCACCCACATACCCCCACCCCTTAGCGGCGGGTGGGGGCCCTAAATAACAATATAGGGGGAGGGGACTCTTGCCCCCCCCCCCCCCTGAGTGGCAGGTGGGGGCCCTAAAGGATAATGGGGGGGGGGACCTATTGTCCTCCACCCCTGAGTGGTGGGTGGGGGCCATAAATAACAATAAGGGGGGGACCTATTGTCCTCCCCCCCAGTCCCCTCCCTAAGGTGACTAGGGGTCCCCAAGCCCCTAGTCAGCCCCCCCCCCACCCAAATAAAAAATTAATAATCCCCTACCTACCCCTCTAACCCTAAAAATAGTGAGGGGGTAATAAAAGAACTACCTGTAAAAAAAATAAAACTTACCATTTGATGTCTTCTTTTTTCTAAAATCTTCATTTTGCAGCCCCAAAAAAGACCAAATAAAAACCATAATACCCGTCGAAACTTGTAAATCAGTCTGCGCCGTGCCCTCGCCGGGTGAAGATGGATTAATTTTTTGCGCTCATGTTTTTTATTTTATTATTTAGAAGTTCGACTGGTATTATCGTTTTTATTTGGCTTTTCTGGGGGCTGAAAAATGAATATTTTAGAAAAAAGAAGACATCAAATGGTAAGTTTATTTTTTTTTTTTTACAGGGGTGTGAGCTGAGGGGGAGGAAAATGGGTCCCCCCCCCATTATCCATTAGGACCCCCGGCCGCTGCTCAGGGGTGGGGGCCGGGGGGGAGGACAATAGGTCCCTTTCTTATTGTTATTTATGGCCCCTACCCACCACTCAGGGGTGGGGGCCGGGGGGAGGACAATAGGTCCCTCCCTTATTGTTATTTATGGCCCCCACCCACCACTCAGGGGGCCATAAATAACAATAAGGGGGGGACCCTATTGTCCTCCCCCCCACACTCAGGGGTTGGGCCGGGTGGGGACAATAGGTCCATGCTGTCAGGGCCACCTGATGGATATGGATTGTGAGTGGGCCCGGTCTGCACTGGGCGCTTTAAGAGCGCGGCCGGGCCCCCTGTGATTACATCAGAGCTGGGAGGAAGTGATTCCCCAGTCACTCCTCCCAGCATACTAAGAGCCCACGCGGGAGGAAGGAGGAGGAGGAGGGAGTCAGAGTGGGAACTCTGACTCCCATCAGGCTGAGCCACCACTGGACCCCAGGGAAAGTAACAAGGTAGGAAACATTTTGTGTATGTGTGTGTGTTTCTCTGTATGTATGTCTGTGTCTCTGTATGTGTGTGTGTGTCTCTGTATGTATTTGTGTCTGTGTCTCTGTATGTGTATGTGTGTCTGTGTCTCTGTATGTGTGTGTGTCTGTGTCTCTGTGTGTGTGTCTCTGTGTATGTCTCTGTGTGTGTGTGTCTCTCTATGTATGTATGTATGTGTCTCTGTATGTGTGTGTGTATGTGTCTCTGTATGTATGTGTGTGTGTCTGTGTCTCTGTATGTGTGTCTGTCTGTATGTGTGTCTGTGTCTCTCTATGTGTGTGTGTGTGTGTCTATGTATGTATGTCTGTGTATCTGTATGTGTGTGTGTCTTTGTATGTGTGTGTGTCTGTGTCTCTGTATGTATGTGTGTGTCTGTGTCTCTGTATGTGTGTGTGTCTGTCTCTATGTGTGTGTGTGTCTGTATGTGTGTGTCTGTGTATGTGTGTGTGTCTGTATGTGTGTGTGTGTGTGTGTGTCTGTATGTGTGTGTGTGTCTCTGTATGTGTGTGTGTGTCTGTCTGTATGTGTGTCTGTGTCTCTCTGTATGTGTGTCTGTGTCTCCCTGTATGTGTGTCTCTGTATGTGTGTGTGTCTCTGTATGTGTGTGTGTCTATGTATGTGTGTGTGTCTCTGTATGTATGTGTGTGTGTCTCTGTATGTACGTGTGTGTCTCTGTATGTGTGTGTCTATGTATGCAGTGGCGTACACACTATCCATGGGGCCCCATATGTATGTCTATGTATGTGTGTCTTTGTCTGTGTCTCTGTATATGTGTGTGCCTGTGTCTCTGTATGTATATGTCTGTGTGTATATATGTGTGTGTCTGTCTGTATGTATGTATGTGTCTGTTGAGGGATGTATGTGTGTGTGTGTGTCTGTCTGTGTGTTTGTATGTGTGTGTGTCTGTATGTATGTATGTATGTGTCAGAGGGGGTAGGGGGGCACGGATCAGCTTCACACCGGGGCCCCATGGATTGTGTGTACGCCACTGGAGGGTAGTGGATGCTTGGAACAGCCTTCCAGCTGAAGTGGTAGAGGTTAACACAGTGAAGGAGTTTAAGCATGCGTGGGAGAGGCAGAAAGCTATCCTAGATATAAGATAAGGCCAGAGACTAATGAAAGTTTTTAGAAAAATGGGCAGACTAGATGGGCCGAATGGTTCTTATCTGCCGTCACATTCTATGTTTCACATACACATACAAACACACAAAGATACACATACAGGTAAAAATATTAGACACCCTCAAGTTTCCTTATGGGAGCAGGAGGCTTCTGCTGACTGAGGCTGTTGGAAGTTAGGGGCTTGCTTCTCTCCCGGTCTGCCCCCCTTTGTGGTCCTCCCCCACTCCCTGCAGATATCAAGGGGCCAAGTTGTGATGTTAAAGTGCCGCAGCGCAGGACCGGGCCACTAATAAGATTATGTGTATGATGTCTGTTGGATGATGTCTGTTGAGTGGTGCTAAGTAAATGGGCCTCCTAATGGGCCCTGTGGTGCGGCTGCACTGGTGGTAGAACCACCCTTACTGCTTCTTTTCTCGTACCCCTGTGGGAACTGGATTGTAACCCTGGGGGTACGCATTCCATATGTTGGGAACCACTGATGTACCTGTCTTAGCTCAGTAGAGCTAACCACTTTCTCCTACAGGAGAAGTCCAGAACAAGGGACTGTGTATGTCCCCACAGGACCCAGGTAAGTTGTTAAAAATACTGAAATGGTTGACTACTTACCATGTGTGCTCCAGGCTTCATACCCACTACTGCGGGCTGCAGGTGTTATAGTGTTTGGAGTGTTCCTTTAGTGTACCCTTAAAGGACTACTATAGGCACCCAGACCACTTCAGCTCAATGCCATGTGCCAGTTTTCAGAGAAACTGCTATGTTTACATTAGGGTTAATCCATTAGGGTTAATCATAGACAGCTGCTAGAGGCGCTTTTGCGCTTCTCACTGTGAAAATCACAGTGAGAAGACGCTGATGTCCATAGAAAAGCATTGAGACATGCTTTCCTATGGACTGATTGAATGCGTGCGCTGCAAGATTCGCCGCTGACGTCAGAAGAGGGAGCAGATTTCCCCAGCACCGAGGGAGCCCGGCGCTGGAGAAAGGTAAGTGGTTAACCCCTTCCTCCCCCTCCAGCCTGGCGGGAGTGGTACCTTGAGGGTGGGGGGGACCTAAAGACCCTATTGTGCCAGGAAAACGAGTTTGTTTTCCTGGCACTATAGTGGTCCTTTAATATAATGAAACGAGTGTAGTTTGACTTGTAGGTGTGACTGAAAACAGTTGTTTTCTAATTTATGACAAATAATGAATCATCCAGGACATGAGTTTGTGGACTTTATTTGTTGTGTAATGTTTATTGTACTTTGGAATTTCAGTTGCAATGTTTCTAATTTGTAACCACTGCTCCCTACAGTACATACAGTATATAAAGTTTTGGGTAGGTATTGCAGGCAAACCTCAGTGATTATTTTACAGAGGCTTTATAGACTGAAAATTAATTTTAAAAAATTGCACAAAAAAAGTTTTGCAGAATCCTTTACCATAAGCCTGTCTCCATAGCCAAACTCCTCATGTCAATAATACTTACTTATCAAAAGTATGCACTTAGTCTCAGCACCAACAGTGCCAAGTGAGCAGCTTTTAAGTCACAACCTGTCTGAAGATAGAGATCTACAAACAGGTAGTGACAATGCCTACGTCAGGGCTCGACAAAGCTCATATGCCAGGCATATGTGAGCCTGTTACCTCTGAAGCGGGTGGCCGCTGGGCAATTTCGGAGGCAGACGGCAAGCTGGGGAATTTTGGATGTATACGGCACGCTGGTGGATTGTGGAGGCAGGCGGCATGCTAGGGGGTCGTGGAGGCATTATGTGGCTGGGTTGTGAGGGAGTTGTGATGTCCCTGCTCCCTTAAGCGCCACTTAGTGAGGCCCGGGCCGGAATATGATGTCATAACCCCAGCATAACTTAGCGGCGCATGGGGGAGCAGAGCAGGGACATCACAGCTCCCTCGCCGTCTGGCAACATAAACCACAGACCCAGCTGCCCGCCTCCATGACCACCCAGCTTGACTCCTGCCTTCACAATTGCCCTGCATGTCGCCTGTCTCTAGAATTCCCCAGCATGCTGCATGCCTCCACAATCCCGCAGCATGCCACCCGCCTGCACAATGCCCCAGCTGTCTCTAGAATCCCCCAGCTTGTTGCCCGCCTCCACAATCGCCCGCTGGGCCCCACAGGTATTAAAACAAGCAATAGTGTGTGAGTCTGTCAGTGTATGTGTGTCTGTGTCACGGTGAGTCTGTCAGTGTGAGTGTATGTCTGTGTCCGTCTGTCTGGTTTTCATGGTGTGTGTGTGTCTTTCTGTAATGGTGTGTGTGTGTATGTCTTTCTGTCATGGTGTAAAACGCATTAAAGTATTAGTGCAGTGAAACAAATGAAAAAGTTCTGCAAATGCAAATTTTATTTTATAAATCTGTGCTCACATTAAACAGGAATATGTGTTGTATTCAGTTAATGCAGAGTTTGTTTTGTCACAGGCTTGTTATTTAAGAGGTGTACATTGCTGCTGCCGACGAAAGAGAGACTGAAATATATTCAGAAGATGTTATGTGAAGTAAGTCATCTTTAACCTTTTTCTAACAAATAGCCCACTTGAAATTGTGCAAGATTCATATTATTATTTAAAGGAGCAGCCTCCAAGTATTTATTGGAAATGAAAATGAATAAAATAAATATTTAACTTCCTTTTCTTTCCCAACATCAATGTATAGAGGATAGCAGGGCATGGAAGGGAAGGGAGCAATTGCCTCCTTGATCGATAACTTACAGAGACTGTGGGCTGTAGCTTTACAGCACATTTTTATCGCTGATTACAAACAGTTGGAACTATGATAGAATGCCTGTTAGCAATATACTCTAGAAGGAGACAGCAAACATGAATTGTGCAGGGCCTTTGCTATCCTCTGTACTTACACTCATGGTCCGCCGATCAGCCGGCATTCCGATCCGGCTGAACCACCGTCCCCACGCTGCATAATGCTACAGTAAGCCTCACTGATGCCGGCCTCTGTGAGCCCGCCTTCTCTTTGTGACACGGCGCACGTGTGCCAGCATCAAATGTCAAAAGAGCTCTAAACACCTTTTGGTGGTGTGGCTATGGTAACCACGCCCCAACCATATAGAATCTCAGTCTGCCCAAAGCACAGTGCCCTGTTGTGGTTCCTAGTGTTACTAGTGTCCCTGTAGCACGTTCTTTTGTCCTTTTGGTATATATTGGTTTTGACCCGGCTTGCTCTCAAATATTCTGTTTTCTGGCTCCCCTGACTCAGCTTTGTTACTTGTACTTGTGTATTTGTAGCTCCCCTGACTCGACTTTTGTCTCTTGTATTGATGTATTTCTTGCTTCCCTTAACCGTGGCTTGTTCTGACATTCCTTGAAGTTTATTCTATTATCCGGCCACCTTTATTCTATTATCCCGCCACCCAAAGGACAGGCTTTTTTCTGTCTCTATTTATTCTGGTGGGTTTTCACTCTGCGGGTACGTTACATAGGAAATACTGGCTATATTTTTGTGAGTGATATATATATTCTAATACGTTTTCATACAGACAATATTGTACTAGTGAGACACATGACCCATGGGGCCCCGGTGCAAAAATTGATCCGTGGGCCCCCCGCCACCCC